AATTATCTTGTTAAGTTATCCAGTATTATTCTTGTCTCCCTTCTGCAGTGGAACTAACATTGGCATGTTCACATGTTAAGACACTAGAGCCAGAGCTGCTATAATATATTATTCATCTGTATAAGAAATAATTCATTCAGCACTTGCATTAACCTAATTGTTTGATTATATGAGAATAATAAAATAAAGGTATAGAGGTGTTCAATATTTCCTTCCATGTATTTGCAAAGTTATAATTTGAAATCGTCTAAATTATGAAATTAGTTATTTTTCTTTTATCATTTTTGTTCAAATTTTTCTTAAGAACAACACATAATTACACTAGGAATTAGTGCTGCTTTTGAATCAACTATTAAGATAAATCTTATTTTCTAGGCGAACAGAAATAGTTTTTGGTATAAGTCAGCTAATGTGTTAATCAGTATATGTATAATGTGAGAGCAGCTGTACTAAGATGTAAATACAACTTTTTGTGTTAAGTGGTTTTAATAACACTGATTAGTTTGAAAAACTGGCAGGTAGGGAATTTATTCAGTTTCACTACTATTTTGAGTTAGTGAGTGTGAAATTTGATAAATACCCTGTTCTCTTTCTAGGAAATTATTCTTCAAGATGCCCTCTTATTTGATAAGAATAGCAGAAAGCATCATAGGTATTACTTTTGTCAAAGCCTTATAATTAGATATTACTATTAAAAAATGTATCAGAGTAAGACAGTTCTTTTGCTTTTTTAATATTATCAAATATAAAAATACTGTGAGCCTCGTAATACAGTAACTGCCTCATGAGCTTTATTATAGTTAAGGTTCTTTTTCATCAGACACTGCATCTTTTAAAGTACTTTTGGAATTGTACATAATGCTCCTTTGTGGCTTATGCCAGTAGTTATACCATCTCCCCTTCTCCTGTCTCCACTTTTTCACTATACCCTGAATTCATCTTTTTGTAAAACTTTTGTTCATCTCTCATTTATTTATGCTCTCCTGCTTTCCATTTATTCTGCCCTTGAGCTCTCTTACCTGTTTCTCTTAATTCATTTTTATCTGTAGTTCTCTATTTTTTAAAAATCAAGTAATCTCTTAAGAATCTCCTGGAAATTTTATATTCTATTGGGAAAAAGGAAGCTGATTTACACACAAAACTCCTCAACCCCAAATAATGCTTTCTACTTCATAACTCCTATCTTCTCCCATTAATTATTGAGGTTTGCTCCTAACCCCTCTTTTAATTCTGAGTATGTGAGTGATTTAATTACTGAGATTTGCTGTTCCTATGTGTTTACATAAATTTCTACTTCCTTTTCCAAAGAACACTAATGAATAAGTTCAATTGTATGGATTATACATACCAATATATAACTTGTGGCGTATATTATATACATATACTTTGTATATATACACATAATACTACACATATGCTATGTAAGTATATATAATAAATATTTATACAGATATTATAAATATTTATAAATATGTCACAGATATACATATGTGGCATATGTAGTATTACATGTAATAGCATTAGAACAGGAGTGTTAGAAACAGTGAGATCCTCTATCAAGTTGAATTTGTATTTAGAAAATTGCAGAAATAATAGAAAAACTTGTTCATGACTATTGCATGTAAAGTTCATTTTGTTTTTTTCTTTAATAGGGTATTTTCTATAATATTTTTATCACTGTTACCCAGAATAATTGTGAGCTGCTAGTCTCTATAATTAGTACTTGTTTTTGGAATGTTTAAAAATTTAATATCTTAAATAAAAAGTACTTTTAAATAGGTAAATATTGTTTTCTTTGGCAAGTTAGACATACTAGTTTTCCATTTATATGTAACATATTTATGAAAATGCACATATTTTTATATATAAGACGAATTTTTTTATATATAGGTTCTAGACAATACTTGTAGACCTCTCTTATATATCCCTTAATCACTTAAAAAGTAGATTTAAATGGTTTTGTGAATAAGCTTCTTAGTATGGCTCATATTTTGCAGAAATGATTTATTTGTTAAGGGATTGCTTATTTTAAGACTGAGTTTGTGGAATGTCATATGTAATTTGGAATAAGTTTATTACTGTTTTAAGATTTCACTTAGAATTTTTTAGAGATACTTTGAGACTAAAACATTGTGTTAAATTGGCATTTAGAAAAATTTGATTGTCTCTATGCATTGTCATTTATATTTTTAAATCTGATCTGTAGTATCAAATTGTTAACATTTAACTTAAATTTATAAGCATTGAGGAACCCAGATGAATGGACACTGAGTAAGTGGAACTCTTAAGTTTTAGTTAGGTATGTGGTTTTTTTGTGCTGTACTCTACAATGTTGACACTTTAGTCAACATTGGGCAGTTTTTAAAAGTCATTTGACTATTAAGAACTAGAGGTGTATCAGCTTGAGTTGAGAAGAGGTAATTAAAAGAACCTAGGAGATTAAAAAATTTTTTTCACAGAGAAAAAATTAAGTTATATTAAAACAAAAACCTGAAAGGTAACATTTGGTTATATAGAAATATTTTTCAGCCCTGTCTGGCGTGGCTCAGTGGATTGAGTGCCAGCCTGCAAACCAAAGGGTCGCTGGTTCCATTCCCAGTCAGGGCATGTGCCTGGGTTGCAGGCCAGGTCCCCAGTGGGGTGGGGGAATGTGTGAGAGGCAACCACACATGGATGTTTCTCTCCCTTTCTTTCTCCCTCTTCTATCCTCTCTAAAAATCGATGAATAAAATCTTAAAAAACTTTTTCAGATCATTTTTAGATAATTTAAAGGTACAAAATAAATTTTTAGTCAAAAGAAGGTCTCCAGATTTTAAAAATTGCTTCTGTATTTACTGTGAGAAATGAATAACACGTTTTGAAGGTCAACCCGAAGTGTTTTTAATTGCTCTTAATTCCATATGTACATTTTTGTTTTCTTAGAATTTTAGTTAATTTTAAAAATTTGCGTGGCAGGACTTCCGGCTAAGATGGAGGTGTAGGTATATACATTTTGCCTCCTCACACACCCAAAAGAAGGACAACAACAAATTTAAAAACAAAAAATAACCAAAACTACCAGAAAATCAAACTGTACTGAAGTCCGACAACCAATGAGTTAAAGAAGAAACTCCCAGCCTTACAGGAGAGTCCATTGGAGAGACTAGAACATACACAAACCCACCCACCCGGGAATCAATTTTCTTGTGGGCAGTGGGGGAAGTGACTGAAAGCCTGCCAAGAGCCAAGCAAGTGGCTTTGTTCCCTCTCGGACGCCTCCCCGCCACACAACCTCACAACTCAGTGACCTGGGTTGCCCTGCCCTGGCGAATACCTAAGGCTCTGCCCCTCCCAACATAACAGGTGTGCTGAGACAAAGAAATATGGCTCAAATGAAAGAACAGATGAAAGCTCCAAAAATAGAAGTGAGTGATGAAGAGATAGCCAACCTATCAGATGCAGAGTTCAAAACACCGATAATCAGGATGTTCACAAAAATGGTTGAGCAAAGTGGAGGAAAAAGTGAATGCTATGCACAATGAAATAAAGAAAAATAATACAGGGAACCAGCAGTAAAGGCAAGGAAACCAGGATTCAAAATTAGTGATTTGGAGCAGAAGAGAGATAAACATTCGACCAGAGCAGAATGAAGAAACAAGGATTCAAAAAAAAATGAGGAAAGGCTTAGGAACCTCTGGGACAGCTTTAAACATTGCAACATCTGAATCATAGGGGTGCCAGAAGGAGAAGAGGAAGGGCAAGAAATTGAAAACTTATTTGAAAAAATAATGAAGGAGAACTTCCCCAATCTGGCTGAGAATATAGACTTCCAGGAGATCCAGGAAGTTCAGAGAGTCCCAGAGAAGTTGGACCCAAGGAAGCACACACCAAGGCACATCCTAATTACATTACCCAAGATTAAAGATAAGGAGAGAGTCTTAAAAGCAGGAAGATAAAAGGAGACAGTTACCTACAAAGGAGTTCCCATAAGGCTATCAGCTGATTTCTCAAAATAAACCTTGCAGGCAAGAAGGAGCTGGCAAGACGGATTCAAAGCCATGAAAGGCAAGGACCTACATCCAAGATGACTCTACCCAGCAGAGCTATCAGGTAGAATGGAAACTCAGATAAAGTGCTTCCCAGATAAGGTAAAGTTAAAGGAGTTCATGATCAACAAGCCCTTGTTATATGGAATGTTAAAGGGACTTATCTAAGAAAAGGAAGAAGACCAAAAACTATGAACAGTAAAATGACAACAAACTCAAAACTATCAACAACTGAGCCTAAAAAGAAAAAAATCCAGAAACAAAAACAAACTAAGCAAACAACTAGAACAAGAACAGAATCACAGAAATGAAGATCGGTGGGAAGGAGGAGAATGGGGAAAAAGGTACAGGGAATAGGAATCATAATTGGTAGGCACAAAATAGACAGGGGGAGGTTAAGAATAGTATAGGAAATGGAGAAGCCAAAGAACTTACATGTATGACCCATGGACATGAACTAAGTGGAGGAGGGGGGAAATGCTGGTGGGAGGGGAATGCAGGGCAGAGGGGAATACAGGGGAGGGAAAAAAGGGGACAACTGTAATAGCATAATCAATAAAATATATATAAAATATTTGTTCTATGTCTGCAGCTTGTTTTGACGTGGGATATTGGTTGTAATTACATGGTATTTTATTTAGATATAGTTTATTCTAGGAAAGTATAAGAATACATTTCATTTTCCTGAACTTACAATTTTATACACACATACATATGCAAACACATATATCACTATTATATCTTCCTTAGGCTAGGTTAGGGAGTAAATTAAGTAAAAAGAATTAAAATAGTGTCAATACTAAATTAAATCTCATTCGTTTTGCAAAAGGGTTGAATTATTATGGGAATGGAAGATTACCATATTGTTTTCTGTTTGGGAAATAAAAAAATGAAAATTATAATATCAATTAAGAATAGCTTGGTTTTTAAGAAAGTTTTTGTTTAAAACTGGAATTCTTCACCCTTTTTCTATAGGCTATCCACTCTGTGGCTTGGCATCATGAAGGAAAACAATTTATTTGTAGTCATTCAGATGGCACCTTGACTATATGGAATGTGAGGTCCCCTGCTAAACCTGTACAGACAATCACTCCACATGGTAAGAATGTATCACTTTTAAACTATCTAAATTGTGGTGGACAGTAAACTGTTTCGTTTATGCATAAGGATTTGTTTTTCTGTTTTATTTTTACTTTTTTTGTGGGGGAGATGAGGATGAGTCTCTGAAGGCATTAAAAATAATTACACATATAGAAATAATATGTAATAATCATATAACAGAATCTCAAATTAAGTTTATTTGCAGTTGAAATAGCAAATATTATCTTTTGAATGTTGTTTCACTAGTAGTTCACAATAAATAATTTTGTGAGTACTATAGGACTTAAAGCTTTTGTCACCTTGAAGTTATCAATTTGCAAGTCGCTAATGAATATATAATAGTTTATTAAACTACTTGGAATTCTGCAGAAGGAATTTTATACATTAAAGTAGTATTGAGGAACCTCCAATTACCCCAGGTTTGATGATTTACTAGGAAAACTCACAGGACTCAGCAGAAATGATGCGAAGCAAAATCAGTGAACAGAAAGGCATGTGGGGTAAAATCTGGAGAGAACAGGCTCAAGTATCCAAGAGCCTCTCCCAGTGGGTTCACACCGGACATGCTGAATTCTCCCAGCAGTGAGTGAGTGGGGCTCACCTGAGTTCAGTTGCCCAGAGTTTTTATGGAGTCAGTTTGTAGGCACCTTCTGCTTCAGCACGCAGTAAAATACAAGACTCCCACAAAGTTAGCAGGGATTCATCACAAACCGCATCATTTGTACAGACAGCTTAGGCACATTGTGCTAGCCTTCAGTCTCAAAAGCCAACTCACCAGATGCCAACCAAGAGCTAAATTTTCAAGCCCCCTTTCCAGAGATAGCAGTCTCAGGCCTGCTATGTTTTAACTCTTTTCTGCACAAGTAGTGCTTACAAAACATAAAAGAAGCTTTTATTAGGGAATTTGTTAACAGGTTATGAAGACCTTTTGTGAGTTTTGAGTGGAGCCCAGGAATTTGTATGTCTTTATTAATCTATATTCTACAACTTCACCTTAAGGAGATCTTACCCAGCAAGTTCAGGGAAATCACATTAAAAAAACTGTTCTCTAAAATAGTATATAGTATGTTGAAGAATATCCCTGTAGCTATTGCTGATATTTCATTGCTTGCTTTAAAATAATGAATGCCTGCTTTAAAAAAAAAATGAGTACATTCTGAAATATTGCGATGTAGAAATTAAACAGTAAAATTTAAAATTTATTTTATCTATCTGTGGCAATATGGGCTTTTAGACTGGTCTAGCCCATATATGGGCTATTTTTCTGGTAAAAATAACAATTCTTGAAGCCAAATTTTGTGATATAGTTTGTATATATCACTGTTTTGTGGCAGCAGGCATCTTTCTGGAAAAACATGTATTTTCAATTTGCTACAGATCTATTTGTGCATGTATCTAGGGGATAGCTTATGGTAGTAGGTTCCATTTTTCCTTTTTCTTCCTTCTGTTACTGCCTGAGTTACTGGTGTTACCCCTGAGAATTCTCATAAATCTTTACATTCCAATCCCACTGGAATGTAGTAATCCAGAAAACCAGAAAAGTAGATGATTACTTTAGAAACCTCTCAGATCCAGAAGAAAATGAAACTAGTATTGAAGATGGTAAAAATACTTAGTTTTTCAGTTTTAAGTGTATCTAATTTTTTTTTTGGTATTTCAGTTTTAAGTGTAATTTTTTTTTTGGTATTATACAAATTATGTTTTGAACCATTTGAGAGGAAGTTGTCAAATTACTTCTTATTCACCCTCAAATATTCCAGTATCTATTTCTTAACACACAAGGACATTTTTCTGTATCAACAAGGTTTGCCTTTTATCAAAAGAGTCTACATGTAAATTAAATTTAGTTGTCATGCGTCTTCAGTTTTTTCAAACTGAAACAGTTTTTGAGCCTTTTCTTGATTTTTATAACTGACAAATTTTGAATATAGGTCAGTAATTTTATGGAATGTAACTCATTTTAGTTTTGTCTGATGTTTCATCATGATTAGATTAAGGTTGCACATTTTTGGCAGGAATATCCCAAGAGGATTGATGTGTTCTTTTTGCATCCTTTCAAGTGGAACTTTGATTTGTCCCGCATTGGTGTGATCTTTTGATTAAGCTTCTATCTATTAGATCTCTCCATTGCAACAGTATTGTTTATCCCTTTGAAATTAATAAGTATTTTTGATTTACATTTGTAATCAGTAAGTGATTTGAAGGAGTTCTTTGGGCCTATAAACATACTATTCCTCATCAAACTTTATCCTGTGATTTTAGCATCTGATGATGTTTCTTGGCTGAATCAATTATTACTGTGATGGTTGCCAAATGGTGATTTCCTGTTTAATCTAGATCCTATTTTTATATAAAAACTTACTTCTTTGAAAGCCAACTTTTACAGGTGGCATAAATAGCTTATATAAAGTTTAAAGTGTCTTAGCAAAAAGAGTCACTAGCTAAATTTATTTTTAAACAAACAAGACAATGACTATTTATTTAATATTTTTAATATTAGAATCCAAACAGGTTGTAAGTAAAGAAAAAATTTTATGTGGCAGGTGTTAAAAGGTAGGATAGCATTTGTTGTATAGTATAGCAGTCTAAAAATGTAGATAACCAGAAGTTTTTTTATTTATAAAATATGAAACATTTCCAATAGTAGCAATGTTTACTGCTTACTGCTAGTGATAGGTAACCTACCAAAGTTAAATTTATGTCAATAGCTGAGTTCCATGGCAAAATTAAGTGCTTCTTTTACATTAAAGTACAAAAAATATTTTATACCCTAATGAGGTATCATATATTCTAAATATTCCATATTCGTTGTATATAACTTTCAGTATGCTAAATGTTTGATTTGATGGATCAAAATTTAGGGTTTTTTCCCTCATTACTATTACTAAACTTAGGATTTTTTCTTAGTAATTAAAGTGTTGTGGTCTCTTGCCCTTACTTTCTAGCAAACAGTTATGGTAAATTACTTTAAATGTACTAGACTTTAAAATTTTTCTCCAGGTTGGGGTTTTTCATGTTTAAACCCATTTAATGGTTAAGTATCTTATTCTTAAAAAACATTTGTAAATGTTACCTTGATAACCAGGAACTGATTGTACTTTAAGACTCCCAGAAGTATGTTATTTAGTGTTAAGAATACCTCAGAATGTCCCAAAGAATCTGTTTAAAAGACATAGTGCTCTACCAGCCTAACATGGAGTTTTGAAGCCAGTAGAGTTGTGATTAAGCCCTGATTCCATAGTTTCTGGCTCTGTGACTTTGGGAAGTCAGTTAACATTTCTGAACCTCAGCATTCTCATTTATAGATAGAAGTAATAATTGAAGTGAAAGTACCTGGAAATTGTGATGTACTATACATATGTGATTACAGTAAATATAAATCTGGAAATGTTATTTAGTTGGTAAGGTGAAACCAAGAGTTAGTTTAGAGTAGTATTCCCCAAAATGTATTTCACAAATACTAATTTTTAAATATTTATTATTTATATTGGCTTATATATTTAATATATTTATTTTATGTAGCTTTTCCCAGACTTATTTGACTTTAATATCTTTTATTCACAGAACATCTTGTGGTTCTCTAGTGTTCCATGAAATAACTTAGAGAAATGGTGACCTAGTACTGGAACTGTAATTGAATTATGAGACAGTTCTCCAGATTTGCTAGTTATGTTTAGTCACTAGCCTTGGATGACACCCTTCACTACTAAACATGTTGATAGTGTCCTCTCATTCTAAAGGTCATAGCAGTTATTTAGATAGTGATGGTAAAATGACCAGTAAAGGAGAATGATTTGAATTTAAGAATTTTACAATGTAATGTAGGGTAGTTTTACTGTATGTCTCAGAATGGTAGATATTATTATTTTTTCTGAAAGTCTCCATTTCTTTGTCAGATTACTCAGTGTGATTTTTTTTATTAACCAGAATATACAATAAAAAGTGATAGCTTCTTTTAGTCTAGTTTTTATGATTATCAAAGAGTGTTTCCCGGCAATCAGGCAACCTGGAGTGTAATTCTGGCTTCGCTTTATATGAAAAACTTTGTGGAGATAATTACTGTTCTCTGGGACTTAGTTTTATCATATGTAAAATGGCAGGATTGAATGAGATATAAAGTTTTGTACATATGTGGGAATTAAGCCATATTTGGTCCCATCTTGGTGGGTTGTACATCTGTATTTATGTATGCAGAGTGTAGAGGGCACGCTCCACACCTGATTCCCTCCTGTGACAGATGGACTTTCATTGTTTAGGAGGGAAGAAATTAGATTGTTGTGGCATGCCTCACATGCAGTCATCATGGCTAAATGAGCTGCTGGCCCAAGGCCCCACAGAATCTGCCCTGTACATGTGCACATGTGTGCTGTGTGTGTGATGTGTTGCAGTAGATTTGCTTTTCAAAGAAAATGGGGATGTTAGATGGACAAAATTAATAGGTATCCACTCTAGGTAATGACATTTTCAAAGTTAGTTTCTAGAGCTTTTTCATCAGTATAATCAGTAAATGTATCAAGGAATAAGCCATGATTGGAGAACTTTTATTAAGTGTTGCTGAAGGAAAATAAAATCAAAGTTTACATAAATGAAAGTCATTTTAATATTTTAAGGATGTGACTTACAAATAATTCTATAAATCTCCTTTTAAGATTCACCTGAAGCATAAAAACCGAACAGTAATAAAACCATACTTTACTTCCTTATATAATTCATTGCAAAATTTACCCCAATTTGTATATTTGAAAGGGCTTACCAAACTTCACAGAGTATACTCAAAATAAGACTTTTATTGAAAGGCAAAGGATTTGGTCTAGTGGGAGAAAGAGAATGCAGGCTAGCATTCTGACATGCACCAAAGGCAAGCTCCCATGAGTACTTACACGCACCCCTGGATTGTGCTGAGTTTCCTGGCTCCAACCACAAGATCCAATTTCTTGGAATGCAAAGAGAGACTCTGAAGGAGGCCCTTTAAATGATAAAACCATTCTAAATGAAACC